GCCAGACCAGCCTCCTTACTATCTATATTATGACCCAGTAGATTCACATCAGCAGCACAGACCAACAGCTGATGTGTCCCATTTAATGTCAGTCCCACCATTTTTTTAAACGTATGCCTTTAAATTAATGCCGTAGGTTTTGGAAACCTTGTCACATGTAATGGTGACTGTAGACGGGGTTCGGATTAATATTTGCATTTATTGACAATTTACAGATCGTAGCTACAAATAACTATAACATTATTGTTCATTTTCACACTACAGATCAGTCCACACTTCGTCTTCTCAGTCTACGTTCACGAGTCATTACTCGGTAACAGCTCTCCACAATGGCTGTTCCTCTGCCGTTTTCTTCACTAGACGTTTTCTGGTTACGAATCATAGAAATGGAGATTCTTCAGCTTCTGTTGCTCGCTGTTTAACACTTCACAACTGAACCCTCAACGGCACTGTAGCGCAAGTTGTCTTCAAGATAACTCCTCGGCACGGATTCCACGGAAAACACCGTCTTCAGTTGTAAAGACTGCATGTTTACTGATCCGTTACCTAGCAATGTATGTCCTATTGTCGCGTGCGCATATGTTGCAGAAATGTGTTTACCGACCCGTTGCCTAGCAATGGGTGTACACGTCACAGTAGTATTATTTAGTACAACTACATATATCGATGATGGACACCAAGGTGGGTGAAGTACACGTTCTTTGATTTATTTATAAACCTTCCAGGAATGAAAAATGAAATGTAACAATGGTGAAAATAGGCCCCATGTTCTTCCATTTGACTTTAAGTATACATTTTCCCAATTTTTCCTAGTTATTTTTCCCGACTCATAGGCCTTGATGTTAATTTATTGCAGAGGCAAATGTAGACCGTTTTTGCAAAGCTAATCCCAGAAGGGGTGCTTACCTAGAGATAAGCCTATGATACTGTACAGAGTTCGAAACCCTTATGTATTATTTTATATCTTTAAAACTTCAATTTACAGTGAAATTGTTCAAATAAACGGGATCGATTTTTATGAGATCTATATTTTATGCTAACGTGATATAAGAATTTGTTGTGCAATAAGCCGTTTCTGAGAAGACCTGTAAAATTCAGTTTGCTACTTATGTAAAATACGAAAGATTTTAATGGAGCCGGGATAGCTCAGTCGATATAATGATGGGCTACGGGGTAGACGGCCTAGTTTCGATTGCCAGCAAGGGAAAGAGAGTTTTCTCTCCTCCATAGCGTGCAGACCAGCTCTGGAGCCCACGCTGCCTCCTATCCAGCGGGTACTGGGGAAAATTATCCGGGGCGTGAAGCTGTCCACTCTCCTCCAGCTAGTGCCGATGGCAGGACTGGTAGAGCTGTACCTTTATTACTTTACAAAAAAATTTATATTGCATCGATATCGGCCAGAATGAAAGTATAGTGTAAACCAGTAATATATATACCAAATTTCATCGATATTAAGTCAGTAGTTTCGATCATAAAACGCACAGTCTTCTCTTATCATTCAAGAAGACGCACTCCACGTAGGCCAGTATAACCACATTCACATGCTATACACCGCAGAGATTGACAATATCTAATTTAATAACAGTGTAATAAATCAAGTACAACCACAGAGCGTTAGAAAATGGCTGACGTCATAGCGTGAACCTTGAAAGCAGCCGTGATTGTTACTGACTACTACCAGTAACAATGGACATGTGGGCACGGGATATGTCGCAGTCAACGCAAATGGTCATGTGGCGGGGAACACGACAGAACCTGTTGCAATACCAGCTCACTCTTCCGTTTATTAAGCACGGAGGCTAAGATACTAGCTCCTGAATTGCAACATGATCTACAGACCTAGTAACTCGTATTTCGCAAAAGCAGTATGCTAGAAAAATTGCTTTTATTCCTATATTTCTGACAATGATGTGTAACAGCAACTTTGACTTATTCAGAACATGCCCCGTGGTCTGCAATTCTGTTGAAGACAAACAAAAACAAACTCCATGGCCTGTAGTCCACAAGAGAACTATACCGACCAGCGATCGCCGCTTGTCGGGGAAGTTAGTGCCAACTTTTGCGGATGGAGTGTGGCACGTGGTCAGCGCAACGGATCCCCATGGCCGTTAATCTCGGCTATTTCCTTGAAAGAGCTCTCACTTATCCTCACGAGGCTGAATGGACCCCGTTCCAGACCCACTACTTCTCAGAAAATCTAATAGCTCCGGGACCTCTGGATCTGTAGGTAGGAACTTTGACCACTAGACCAGAGAGGCGGTCGTTTGTTGAAGACACATTACGTAAACTGGACTCTTTCATCGGGTGTAAAGGAAGAAGGGTCCATACGCAGTTGCGCCCGTCAGGAAGAGAGTCTGACTGAGTCTGGCTCTAATAGTAGTGGGTTTTGGATTGGGAGGTTGCTGTACCATACGTGGAAACAAGGACAATAATTTCAAATCAAAGATTCGCAAGCAGAACTCATGCAGCTTATTTTCCTGTTGCACGGCTTCTTTCTCCTAATATTAATATCGTATTAAGATAATGTAAATCATATTACTATTATTATTATGCTCATTATTACTGGTATTACTGTTACTGTTGTTAATTATTATGATTGTCATCTTTCCTTTTCAATGGTTCTTCCAGCCCATTCAGGGTCCTGGCCTCTTATTCAGTTCCGTAATCATTTTTCACAGGCGGTAGGACTCCTTGGACGAGTGATCAGCCCATCGCAATGCCGCTACCTGAACACAGGACAACAAACACACAGAATAAACGCATACACACACCAAACATCCATGGATTCGAACCCACAATCCCACCGTCCGAGCGAATGAAGACAGTTCATGCGCGGCTACTGTGACAGACTGTCGATAATTACTAGTCATTATTATTATTATTATTAACTGTTCTTATTAATGTTATTTATTGAGAGCTCATTACTTGAGAATGAATTTTATCTACGTAAAAAATGTCGGGCATAACTTCAAAGTTTGACGCTGTCGCCACTATTTGTAACTGGTAATGTAATATAACAGACTTTATCAGCGCTTTGCCATGCAACAGCTCTGTAAACACGGTCCAACACGCAACAGTAGAGGAAGCTGTGTTTTCTGTAGATCCGTCCGACCCGCCAATGAACAGGCTGAATAGCGATCGTGTGATATGTATTTACTGTAGGTTAGTAGAATTCCTAAGCTGGAGTAGTGTTGGCAGAAGCAAGAAGTAATCTCGAGGAGTACAGTGGAGTTCAAGAAGTCAGCTTCTGAAGATTTAACGCGTTATTTAAAGACTTCATATATGTCGTAGCACAGTGATATTGGGAGTGTGTGATTTAGGGAGACTTTTATAGTTCCTGTGTTATAAATCTGTGAAGACTAGTGGAAAGTGACTGAAGAGAGTAGCGTGGAGTGCTTTGTAGTGTAAAAATCAGTAACAGTTTTGTAATTAATTGTAGTTACGACCTGTTAGTCGTCAATAAATCCAATTACCAATTCGAACCCCGTCTTTAGTCACTAATACACATGACAGTATAAAACCTGGATATCGCGCATAACGTATATTTATGTTCAGTTTCCATCTCCGCGCAAATCCCATGTGCCTATCGCAATTGGTTCGTTGGTTATCGCCATCAAATCGAATATTCTTACTAAATACAAATTGCACACTGCCGCCATTTTCTTGCTTTACTTCGTACAAAATATTACCTTAAAAGTTTAATGCTTTTCGCAGTGTAACCATACAAATGTCAGGATCCTGTCATAGATGTCTCGTCATAAGAAGAATAAAAGCTTTACGCAAAGTGTTCACTAAATATTTCATGTATTTGTTCATCTTAGTTCTCACGGAATCAAATAAATAGCTTGAGTGTGTGGAATTAATATGAATTCGTGATAGTGTACAGTACTGATAAGAATAATAGCAAACCCTTAATGTCTGATTTTAAGCGCCGTGAACTTGATAACATTTGGCTTACAAATATTCTTTTGTTTAAGAGTATAAAGTAGTGAGAAGGCAGCAGTAGGAAACTTGTAATTACGTTTGTTGTTGGATAGCGATAAGCAGTGAATCATTGCAGCTAACCATGTGAAACTTCACTGCAGGTCATACATATACGTAAGAACTTGTGTGCGTTTAAGTATTGCAGCATTGAAGATGATGTGAAGCCCCAGTATACGTGTAGGTCTATATCCTATGATAGTTCATATTAGTGGAAATCAGACGCACAGATCACTGTTTTGATAATTGTCAATTTATAATTCGTAGATACGTAAGTGTTGTAAGTTTATCCCAGCACTTCTTGTTTTGTGTTATGTCTAGAACAGGCCTAAAGAGAGACCGGATGGAAGGCACGGTTATCAAATCCTTAAATCTACGAGCAGTAAGGCACATAGAGAAATGTTACGGCTATTAAGTATCTGTGTGGAAAAGGAAGCAAAACTATTTCGACTTTTTACATAATTCCACGATACAGGGCTTAAGTATTTAATAAGACCTAATCATTTTCTCATCGAAAAATTCGCATTTGGACGCATAGTGAAGCGTTCCATCCATGTGCATGTTTCATCTCCCAGACAACTCAACTCTTTTGATGGTAGATATGGTTTTTGAGCAAATTAATTTTGGTTCCTGTTTTAAACTGTACATGAGGGTCATATTGAACTATAGGCCTGTCAGATTTAAAAAAAGACGCCGTGGCGGTAGAGAAGGAAACTTGGGGTCTGTAGACCAATGACATGAAATGCGTTCTTAAATCTATTACAATTTACACATTTTATTTAAAACATATTTCCATAAGGGGATCTTTTAACGAAACACAAGACCTAATAATTTCTGATTGCGTCTACAAAACTTGTAGCAACAGTTTGTTTCTCGGTTTCCAACAGTGGATTTGTATCTGCACAAACTGTACATCAAAATCGCAGAGAACACATTTGTGAAGTATATGTCTTCATTACAGCACATCTGCCAACTTGCATTATGATATTGATAACTTACGTGATGAATTTCCATTGCAGGTCGCACCTATGAGGTTCAGTTATCGCATTTTCCATCCTCCTGTCTACGTTCCAGTGGCAGTTCCACCGACTAACGTTCCAAACATAACTCAGCGGGAGCAACAGCAGCAAGGCCAGCAGCGCACGCAACAAGATCAGCATCAGGAACCCGATGATCAACCCAGTACACAAAATGAGTCCATTTCGCTTTCCCATTCAGTGCCGGTGCCAGAAAACACTGACGTTATACCAAATACTGTTGAGGAGACTGAAATCGTTGCAGACGTGAAGGAAGCTTCTTCTGAAAGCTGTGCAGCGACGTCAGAAGACGTGACATCGGTGGATGAGACACTTCCTCAAGATGACGCACCGGAACCAGAGATAAAAAAGGTGAAGCTGGATGAGGACTGTAGGGACACTCCAGACACAAATGATGCAGTACAACTGGAGGAAGAGAAAGTAATGCAGGAAACAGAAGTGGAGAAGAAGCGGCAGAAAAGAAAAAGAAAGCGATCTAGCGACAGTGATCAGGAACACTGCGATGATGAATCAAGTGTTGGCGCTGCTGATGTTACCGTTCCTACTGCTACATCTGATGGTGTTTCTGACGCCTCACCAAGTACCAAAGAGACGAGTGCAAATGAAGAGGTGATGTTGCCAACTGTAGAAACTCACGACGAAGCCTCTTGTGATGAATCCGTCGCGAAAGAAACGTGTTCTGCCCTTGAGGACGCTGGGGAAACACCAACCATGCAGGAGGATGAAGGGATTGTGGAAGACAGTGAATGTGTAGAGGACAGCAATTCTGCTGAAGGTGTGGTGGACAATATTGCCATAGAAGATGTTGTGGTTGATGAAGGGGATGCAAGGAGTGTTGTAAGGGATGGGGAGGAAGATGAAAAAGACGATGAATTCACGTTAAGAATGTCGTCTTCAGAGGAAGAGGAGGGAGGTGAGGAGGGTGGCAGATTGGCCACAAAAATTATTCCGAAGCAGGAGGAGATAAAGGATGAGAGACAGATTGAAGAAGCAGAGGAGAGGAAGAAACTGAAGGGAAAGAAAGATGGACGTAAGAAGAGCAAACACAAATCGAAACACCATCATCAGGAGAGTTCTGCTCGCAAACGCAAGGCACATCGCTCAGAATCAACGCCCACCATACTCCAGTACCAGGAAGATGTGATGAAAATGAAAGTGAAGCTTGGTTGCATCAAGCCAGTGATGCCACATAAACATCACCATCACCACCATCACTCGAAGCACAACCGCAAGAGCCTCCTAGACGTGGATACCCCGAGCACCAGTGTTGGCTTGTGTTCTAACGGAGAATCCACTGGTGTAAGTGCAACAACAACAGCCAAAGAACGCTTACTGCAGATGAGGGCAGTAAGGCACAAGAACATTAACACCTCTAAGAGTACAAGCACATCTCTAACAAGCACGCCATCTAAGGAAGATACTAACAACAGAAACTATAAGACTGAGATCCTAATGCCACCATCGTCAATCACTGTCAGTAAAGTGAACATTGCTGATAAACGCAAACTTGAAAGCCAAAAATCAAATAACTGTAGCAGTTCTGGTGGTGAAGAGAGTAAGAGACCCTCACTTGAAATCATGCTTGTAAACGCACCCACCACAACCACAGTGTCAACATCAGCCATAACCACTTGTACAACAACAATCTCTGCAAGTAACACAACCGCTGAAGCCTGTGCTGCGGTGAGGCCGAGTGGTAATGATACTGCAACCAGATCTTTGGACCATGTCAGCTACAAACCTTCCCGACCGCCTCCACACACCATCCCCCTTGTGAGGCTCAGAAAGAGCACAGTGACATCAGTTCGGCCTCCAGCAGGCCTGACCATCACTCCTAAGATACCCACAACTGCAGTTCTTCCTACCAAACCCTCAACAACCGTAACCAAAAATCCTATTTGTAACAAAACTGTGGCTGTAACAGAAACTAGTGATCAGTCAAAAGAGGAGACAAATCGAGATCGGTGTGGTGTTTTGGAAGAAGAGCAGGCCATGAGGCATGATGACATAGGTGCATTAGATTTGTCCGGAAAGTCTTCACGTTGTAAGACTGCTTTGAGTCCGGCTACCAGTCCTACAGTTGCACCAGGTTTTCCGTCACCTCCATCACCAGTCATGAAGAGTCCAGGAGGAACATCTTCCTCAACACATCAAAGTATCTTGTCAATAGCCCAAAGCTTGGTTCACAGGCAACTACAGCAGCAACAACAGCAACATGGCCTCATCAACATAAGCCCTTCGTCACCTGTGAAGGTGTCCAAATCACCTACTACTGATAGCCTGAGTTCTTCTGTGCATCCGCCAGTAGCGACAACACCAGGCTATGCGATGAGTAATTTAAAGACTTTGTCAGATACTGCTGTACGCATTCGTAATGAAATGGCCGCTCAAGGCGACAACAGCGGCAGAAGTGGTGGCGCCCTTAAGCCACAGCAGAAACCTGCACCTGTCTCAGTGCAGTTGACCTCATCTTCTGAAGTAGTTTCTCCTGCATCCGTAATTGGGCGCTCATCAATTGCAGTGACCTACAATTCCAATAGCAACCCCCGCAGTGGTCTGTCTCAGCCCCCCACGCGATCTCCTACCAGTCACCAACAATACCAAGCACTACAAAATAACTCAGTACCACCTCTGCGGATTCCTATCCCACCTACTTCACTCAGCAAGGCAAGTAGTCCTGCATGTGCTACCTCCCGAACCAACAGTGTCCCGCGGCTGAACGAATTGTATCCTTCCACACAAGGAGCCATGGGCAGAGGAAGGAGCATGATTCCAGGACTTCAGAATCGCAGTGGAATTAGTAATCACACCAAACCAGGCCCAAATCAAGCTGTCAGACATATTCCAAACCCATCTGCATTGTTGTTTCGGCAGCAGCAGTCACAGAACAGACTGCAACAGCAGAACAGGCATGCAGCTATGAGCAAGGCACTATTCAACAACCAGAACAACTTCAACAACACAAATCTTAAACCCGGTGCATCTACGTCTATCGTACAAGCAGCAGCGCCGCCAGTGTCCTCCATACGGAAGATGGAGAACATGACGCGCAATATTGAAAAGGTGGCTGCAGGTCTCACAGTCAGAGCTGTTGAGGCACACAGTAAATGAAACTTGTGTTAATGTTATGTTGAGTTTATGCAGAACACAAATCCAATTTTAAATTGGATTTATTATTTTAAGAGACACGTGTAAGAATTAATTGTTCTATATTGTTCTACGAGAGCTTGGTGTGGATGTGCCAACATTCTTAAAGTCATTAGTTTTCCCAGTAGGAAATAGTCTACACGTTAATTCACAGTGTGTATATGTTTTGGGATGTTTTTATCGTCAGAAGTTAGATAATAAGCTATAAAATTCTTCATCTTACTCCGTACAAAATTCTGTTAATACTTTCATTAGGCAAATCATTAATGACTACATTGTCAATATTAATCAATAAATGTGCATCATGGAAATACCCGATGCTCCTTTATTATTACAAATGATAAAACAATTGCGTCCAGTGTGACGGAATTGTTTTGTCGTTTGTAATATTGTTAATGTGACGGACCAGAATGAAACAAATCAAACTCCTTTATTATCCTACATCCCCTAACTGCACGCCAGAAAGTCTGAAGAACTGCAACAGAATTCCCCATACTTGTCATTATTAGTTGTGTACATAAAATATAAAAAGGAATACCGTGTGAAAAGGTACATTTGTTTATATTAATTTAAATTACTATTGGGTATTAAGAGCCTGTATTGGAATTTGCTATGCGGGATTGAGTTTGGTTTTTACTGGTCGAATATAATTCCTACCTTGCATGAAACTCAAGTAACCCAGTGGTGCAAAGTTAATTTTGAAAAATAATAGTCGCTCGTCTACTCGAGAAATATCCCACCTTTTTACGTGACTTCAAAATTTCGTTTCGGTATCCACAGTGGTCTCTTTAAGATTCATTTTAATGCATCATCTGATCTATGCCAATGGCTCCAAAATAGTTTCTTCTTTTTAGGCTTTCCAATCAAAATTTTGTACCCACGCAGGACAACAGGTAAGTTTTAGTTGTGTGTATGTTACCCTTTACCAGTTTTATCGATTTTCTCGAAAGTGAAACATGATACCCAAAGAAAATATTAAACAGTACAATAGGTGGTAGGAGACGTGCTGGGAAACCAAGAACTAGATGGATTGATGCGGTGGAAGAAGATGCAAAGAAGTTAATGGGCGTAAGGAACTGGAAGAGAGCAGCGCAGGATAGAGAGGAATGGAGGGGCTTGATAAGGGAGGCCAAGGCCCGAAGAAACATGATACAGTAAATTTATTTTTGAGCAAGATCTACAGTATTACTATAACTTGCTTTTTTTCCTAACGTGTCTTGCTACAAGAAAATGCACTTGCACACGTCCTTCAGGATGTCTAAGCATACAAGGGAAGCTCCACTAACTTACAGGTTAGATCAAGATCTACAGCTTATGTTTCATATCCTGTCTATGTTATAATAATGAAACACATAGAAACATTGTTATGTGTAGTAGGGGTATCTCTAATGCGCTTTGCTTTGAAAGCTAGATTTGTACCTGTGCAATAAATGAACATTAAGACCAATTAAACACAAAGAACTATAGCAGGTCTAAATGTTCCATAATTTTATGGATGGAAAAACGCAACCAAGAAACCTCTCACCACTTCTGTGCCCTCAGAGTGTTCACTCATCATTTTGGCGTGTAAGTACTGAGTTTTATTGTTTCACTCTTAAAATTAGTCTCATTTGTAAAACCGACGGGCCACTGGTTGCGACCATTTATTTCTTTACAGGCTGCATTATCGTAATATTTTATATCCTCGATGCTGCTGAGGACAAAAAAAAAATGTGAGTGACAAAGGACCATAGCTTGTTACTTTTCAGGACAAGGGTTCTCAAGCACGTTACACAGAATTTATGATAATGAAAGATTTCTGAACAGAATTTTCTATAAAATTACAAAAAAGAAAGAAGACATTTTTTAATGGAAACATAAAAACGGTTAGTTACTATAGGATTCTGACGATGGTGTATAACACATTGATATATTGGGTTTCTGGACTTTATCCATCGTCCTGGTTTTTAAGATAACAAATAAAAACACGACGTTTCGGAAACTGGATCTGTTTCCGTCCTCAGGTGAATGAAAAGGGAAACACCTATTCTGTTGGGTCCGTTAGAAAGAGCTAGCCTCAATCACTGGAGAAAACTGCATAATGAGGAGCTTCATAACTTGTACCCTTCTCCAAGTATAACTAAATTATCAAGTCAAGGAGGATGACGTGGGCAGGGCATGCAGCACGAATGGGGGAGAAGAATGCATATAGGATATTGGTGGGAAATCCAGATGGAAAGAAACCACTGGGGAGACCAAGGCATTGGTGGGTAGTCAATATTAAAATGGATCTTAGAGAAATAGGATGAGATGGATTGGATTAATCTGGCTCAGGATAGGGACCAGTGGAGGGCTCTTGTGAACACGGTGATGAACCTTCGGGTTCCATAAAATGCTAGGAAATTCTTAAGGAGCTGCAGAATTGGCGGTTCCTCAAAAAGTGCTCAGTTCCATGAGTGAGTGAACATAAAGACTAAGAAGTGGATTCTACAGGGTTCTGACAATGGTGTGTAACACTTTGGGATTACTGTTAGATCTGTTGGGTAGAGCCAACCAGTCCAGTAATTGACGTTAGCTCTAACGGACCCAACAGAATAGGTGGCGCCCACCCCTCACCTGAGGACGGAAACAGATCCAGTTTCCGAAACGTCGTGTTCTTTAATGTTTTCTAGTGTAAAGGACGATGGACAAGGTACAAAAGCCAGTAATTTGGGGTAATAACAAAGATCCCTTG